CGCGCTCCCCCGCCCGCTCCGGCCCGCGGCCGCTCCCCAGCGCAGCGCTCTGTTTGTTTTTCTAGCCCGACTGACGTGAGTCAAAATATTGGCCATATGTTCGGCGGTAATAAATTGGGGATGAGCGCAAACACACTTGGGCTTCGATGGCTCTTTCAGCTGCCACATGGCCGGCTCGGGAGGGAGGGGGCTGCCACCCTCCACCCTGCCCCCACCCCAATCTGAGGTGGGATTTCTCGGTGACGTCCTTCTGAGCTGGAGACCCGGGCCCTCAGCGTCCGCTAGCACTCGCCCCTTCTCTGTGCCCGTCAGTGCCTGGCGAGGTGTGGCTCCCGGCAAGCCCTGGCTGCTGGTTAACAAGGTGGCCATCTATAAATTGCTTGGTCGCTAAGACGCCATAAAACCAAAGGGCCAGATGTGGCACGTTATTTATGTGTGAAAGCGCGTTTACACTAGATATGAGGATCCCAGGCAGATAGCACTTGGTAGGGTCACTGACCTCTGGCCCTCCGTTTCAGGCTCCTCCCCCAGGGCACTCCGCTGCCCAGATTGCAGGGGTGGTGTGTCTTCCTGGGAAAGGTAGTCAGCTCTGTGCAGCCCAGGAAGAAAGTGATTTCAGGGTACTTGTGCCAAGGTGCCACCTGTCCAGGATTAACCAGTCTCGCCCCTCCTTCTGTTTTCTTGCTCTTGTTCGCCTTCCCATCCCTGGGAGGCAGTTTTCTTTTTCACAAAGTCCATGACACTTGTCTGACCCACGAAAGCTGGTGTTTGAAAGCGGAGCTTGCTCGCTCTCCCACCTAGGCAGAATAAACGTGGAGGACCCCCCCCCCCCGCAGGAAGAGGTTGATTAGGGGTGGGGGTCAGGACAGGAAGCAGCAGCTCACCTGGAGGGAGAACCGAGAACCCCTTTCCCACGGACTCCGGTGTTCCAAGCCCAGGCTGTATTTCAAGTAAAGGCAGCCAAAGCTTTCCCAAGAAGCCAAGCTGCGCTCCGCTCCATGGGAAACCCAGCCAGCCCCGTGCGCTTCAGGCAAGGCAAGGATAGATTGTACCATAATAGAAAACAACTGTCCTGCTTTCCCCCTTCAGAAGGCAGGCTGCAGACCGCAGGTCCCCAAACTGGTCACCTCACACCTCCCTCGCGTGAATTCATTAAGAACCCTCGTTGTCTCTCCTGGCTGTTATTTGATTCTTTCTTGAAGTGAACCCAGCTCTCTCTGTGGCTAATAAGCACTGAGCCGGGCCTCCTACCTTCCTTTTCATCTTCGAGACACCTGGGGTTCCCTGAATGGCATCTTCCTTCTGGACACAGAAAATAAGAATGAGAAATGTTACCCTACCGCAGAGAAAAACATCAGCATCCGCCTTCACTATTACAAGTTACCCCAGCCGCGTTTCTGGGATAACTGTCCTTAGGTGGCTGTTAAGGATGGAAAATGATGCTATTGGAAGGGGTGGGAGGGAAAGAAAGGATGAATAGGCATGTGTGTGTGTCCATTCAACAGGTCACAAGGGAGCCAGAAAACACACCTGGACCCAAACATGGACCTCTCTGGGTTAGCACCCTTGGGCCTTCGAACAAGTATCCAGAAATCTCTAGTTACTGTAGCAAAATCTAAGTCCACCTTCATGCCTTCAAGGATGGCCGAGTTCAGAAAGTTAGTCCTGTGCTTAATTAAAAGAAAAAAAAAATCGTTTCTGAGGCCTGAATCCGGGCTTTAGGCGACCTCGGCCAAGCAGTGTAGCACTGGCGTGTAGTCAGTAGTCTTGGATTTTAAAAACTGAACTACAGAATCTTCAAGCACATAGACGTGGAGTTTGGGTGAGCTGTCCCTCTGGGGGCCTTTCTGCTGCATGGCCAGCATTAGGCAGGGGCACTGATGGCAGGCCTTGAGCAGCAGTTGCCTTGTGGGGGTGGGGGTGCGCTGTGGTAAGGCTCCTGTGGCTTTATCTCCCACTGGTGTCACAGGCACCTGTGAGGTGTACCCAGGAGGTTGGTGTTTGTTGGGCTCAGTGAGGAAATCAGGCCAAGAGCCATAAAGTTCGGAGTTAACTGGGCTTCATATCAGCCCCACAGTTGGAAACCCCACTTGGAAATAGCAAATGTGTGAAAGCTTCATCCAAGTAATTGTTAATAAGAATTTGCTACAGAGAAGAGGCAGTGAGGGGCGACCTGCTGATGACATACAGCTGCCTTGCTCCTTCCCCGAGGGGTCCGCTGTGCTCCTTTAGAAACCCACCCAAAAACCTGGCTTCAAAAGCACCCCAGACCTACACCCAGTTCTGAGCCCCAAACTTTTTTATTGGTTTTTTTTTTTTTTTTTTGAGTTTCTTTGTGTAGCCCTGGTTGTCCTGGACTCACTCTGTAGACCAGCCTGGCCTCAGACTCACAGAGATCCACCTGCCTCTGCCTCTGCCTTTAATCCCACCTGTTCTGGGATTAAAGGTGTACACTGCCACCACCTGGCCAAGCCACAAACTTCTTAATGCTGTATTTATTTGGGAAATGTTCCTGTCTGACCCAAGGACTGGGACTTTCATAAAGAATTTTCATATTGGAAAGGTTCTTTCCCACAAAGTTCCTCAAAGTAGCACCAGGTCTGAGGCCTCAAAATGATTCTTCTCTGGGAGGGAGCAGTTCTCAGAACTTACAAATAAACAGTCACCCGAAAAAGTACTCCAGTGTGTTTTGAACTGAGCCAAAATAGCAGTGGACAAGAAAGAAAGAAAGAAAGAAAGAAAGAAAGAAAGAAAGAAAGAAAG